CTCCCTCTACGAAAGTATCCCTTCGGGGTCTTTCACTTCTGTCAAACCAACTTGAAATTGTTGGATGCAGTGAGTCATTGGTCTGGTTCGAGGCGTCTGACTTCTGCTACACCAGCAATACTGGACCCTCACTGAGACTCCTATCAGATCCTAGTGTTGCCCTGAGTCATGGTGATCCTGCAGCTTTGCTTCTGCAGGATTGGCCCCTTCCAGCAGCTCATAGATGGGTCGGGTGTTTGGGTGGGATAGCCCAAAGCCCTGGATATGGGCAAGGCGGTAACTGAGTTGGTCAGTTAGCAGCTTTCCCATGCCCACACAACCTGGGCCAGCTCTCCTGCCCCGTCAAGGCGACGGGCCAGACCAACTCTCCGGAGTGCCTTAGCTGGCCAGAGGAAGGGCCAACTCTCCAGCGCTAAGGTTACCAAGGCCAGCTCTCCCACACAGCCAAGGCGAGGAGGGTGGGGCAGTTCTCCCCATGTCCTAATCGGTCGAGGGGCGGGGCCCTCTCTCCAGAGTCCATGTCACCACCGGCGCCACCGTGTGGCCAGTGAGGGGTTGAGCCAGCTCAGTATGATATTCAGACCTCAGATGGCAGCCCAAGGTGGTTCACAAGGTCTTAATGCTTGTGGCAACACAGACCCATGGCCCTCGGAGGAGGCACGGGTCCAGACATCACCATGGCCTCAGGTGGTAGTGCAGGCCTCTTACATCAGGCTGTTCCTCTCATCTCCTTCCAGTCTCCAGTTTTGCCTCTCTTCACAATGCACAAACCGGCTTGGCTTCTTTTTCTCTCCCATCTCTCCACCACATACTTGCTAATCTTAGTGGCGCCCACCCTGGCCTGATCCTGTGTGGCTGCAAACTGGACCTCCCGGCCTCTGGCTGTCTTCCACCCTGTCTGCCTGTTTTTCTTTTTTATTTGACCATTCATTTTCTTTCTTGTTGGGAGCCATAAGTCAAGGGGCCATCCAGAGTGGTGGGAAATTACAGGTCCTTGAAAGACCTGCCACCTGGCAACTGCCACCACGGGCTGTTCTATCCCAGGAGGAGATAAGCAGCCCCGAGAACTAGGAACATAAGATGTTCCCAGGCAGAAGACGTTCTTCAGATAGCTGCTTACGCAAAACACCAGAGATACTAACCACAGTAAGGCACTCCCATCCTGCCATATTCCTATATAAGTCCTACTGTTCCTTCAATAAACTGAGACCTTGACAACAGAATCTTGCTTGGTCTCTTTTCTTTCTCTCACCCATGATTCAGGCAGTACCTCTTCAGA